CCTTAAAATTTGCTCGGCTAACTTACTAATTTACCCAATTACGGCGCACAGTAGTTGACCCTATGCAAGAGAAAACTTGAGTTTTCTTCTCATTATTTATGATATTATTTATTTAGGAGACAAGAGAGAAGTTATGCTTGTTGAAAAAATACCGGCTCAAAAAAGAACTTTATACTTATGATATAAGTTATGGATATTGAAGTTGATTAGGAGGTGAGTGGGTGTAATGCGACAACTCGCAAGAAAAGACAACTAACATTAAAAGACAACTCGCTATATACTCACCGCCGCAGTCGCGCCAACGTGTTGCGAGCTTGCCAAGAGATGGCAGAACTTCATTCAGAGTTTAGAGCCGTTTATCGCCGCAAAGCGGCAACGCGCGCATAGCGCGCCCACCGGCGACCTTAAACCGAGAATATACAGTTTCCAATTAGCTTCAAGAATTTGCGAAGTATCGCTTTCCTTAAATTTTGCGAGTTGCCTTTTCTTGGGTGTTGTCTTTTCTTATGAGTTGTCACGGTACCAAGAGTGGGGTGTGCTGATCAAGATGGATATAAGCATTTTCGGTATTTTACGTGTAGAATAAGAACGAAACCAATTCATCAAATCAAAGTTTTATGATAATTGGTGTCATGGTAAAACAACGGCAAAAGTTTTTGTCGAGCTATTTGTAAGGAAAATTTTTAGTTTGATAAAAAAATCTATGAATATTTGCTTCTTCAACTTTTTATCACAATTTGTTTTTTGAAAAAATTCTATCGAAAGGTCAAAATTTATCTGAAAAATTAAAAAATAAATCTTTGGAAATTGCAGAAGTAGTTTGAAGAAAAATATCAATGCATTCTACAACGCTTCAGGTTAGCTGATACAATTGTGTACTAATTATCCTCCGCGTGTAAAGGAACGCTTGTTTCATCATGTCAGTAAACTATTTTTAATGAGTTCTGGTTTTGGGTGGTTTTTCAGTCAAGCGTAAGATTTCTAGCTCAAACGTTTTGTGAAGCAACCGTTGCAGCAACTTCGAAGAGACGTAGCTTAGACTGTATGTAAACTCTGTGTAGCTTGAGCACATTGCAGGAGCTATAATAATTGTAAAATTCTGATAAAATAAATTGAAATTTTAAAAGTTATTGAAACTGAAAACTTTGAAAAATTAAGAGGAAAACTAAAAATCTGTTGCAAACATAAGTTTGATTCAAGCTCTGCCAAACACTTTAAAGTGCATAAAAACTTACCAATGAATCAAGGAAATCAGAGTAGATTAAAATCGCTCAAAAACGACCGATTTGGTTCAAGTCAAACTAAGTAGGGCAGAGTCAACGTCGAAAAAAATTCGCTCCACGGAGCTTAGATTAAAAGATTTTTGCCCAACCGGTCGATATATACTTTGACAACCTCAAATTTAGTGATTAAATAACAGATTGATTTTGTTTGAATTCGTTCTTTTTCTGTAACTCTGTAATTTAAATGCAACCAAAAGTTCTATGAACGCACCCGGGTCGAGATTCTCGATTTAAGTTACGACTCGACCAAAAAATGGTATGTTTCGACCGTCTCGATCCTGGCTCGATATGTTTCGACCGACTCGACATAAGTTGTCTATGTTTCGACTACGTTCGAACGAGGAAGAACATTTTGACCAAGTTCGACCGAGGAAAAACATTTCGACCAAGTTCGACCGAATAAATTTTTTGACCGAAAAGAATTTCAACCGAGAAAAGCAGTTCGACTGTGTTCGACCAAGGATAAATGTTTTGACCGATTTCGAACGAGGAGTTTTTTCGACGGATCAAAAAACCATTTCGACTGCGTTAGACGCAGGGTTTTCTCGACTGAGAAGCGTTTCGATGCAAGAATGAATGTATGAACGCATGTCCATTTTCATCATGTATGTATGTATTGAAGGATGTTTGTATAATATTATGTGTTTATGTAAGTATCTACATATGTATGTATGTATGAATTCATTTATGTATGTATGTATGTATGTATGTATGTATGTATGTATGTATGTATGTATGTATGTATGTATCTATGTATGTATGTATGTATGTATGTATGTATGTATGTATGTATGTATGTATGTATGTATGTATGTATGTATGTATGTATGTATGTATGTATGTATGTATGTATGTATGTATGTATGTATGTATGTATGTATGTATGTATGTATGTATGTATGTATGTATGTATGTATGTATGTATGTAAATATGTATGTATGTATGTATGTCTATATGTATGTATGTATGTATGTATGTATGCATGTAAGTATGTATGTATGTATGTATGTATGAGTGCATGTATGCATGTATGTATGTATGTGTGTATGTATGTATGTATGTATGTATGTATGTATGTATGTTTGTATGTATGTATGTATGTATGTATGTATGTATGTATGTGTGTATGTATGTATGTATGTATGTATGTATGTATGTATCTATGCATGTATGTATGTATGTATGTATGTATGTATGTATGTATGTATGCATGTATGTATGTATGTATGTATGTATGTATGTATGTATGTATGTATGTATGTATGTATGTATGTATGTATGTGTATGCATGCATGCATGCATGTATGTATGTATGTATGTATGTATGTATGTATGTATGTATGTATGTATGTATGTATGTATGTATGTATGTATGTATGTATGTATGTATGTATGTATGTATCTGTGTAAGCATGTATGTATGTATGTATGTATGTATGTATGTATGTATGTATGTATGTATGTATGTATGTATGTATGTATGTATGTATGTATGTATGTATTTATGTATTTATGAGTTTATGTTGTATTTGTATGTACGTATGTATGTAAGTATGTGTTTATGTATGTATGTGTTTATGTATGTATGTATGTATGTTCAACTTTATGTTTCGACTTTGTGTTCGACTTCTTGTTTCGACTTTGTGTTCGACTTTATTTTTGTTCCGACTTTCGATACGAAAGTAACGGAATATTTGTGCTCGGGGTGGGTTTTTTTTTTCTTCAGACAAATTTCGACTTTTTAACTAGCCATTTTTGACGGAAATTTTTTATATCATTCGAAAGCTACTGTTGTCCTGAGCTTAAATTTGAAAAGATATTTCACCTGTGATCATTTTTCGTAAAGTTATGAGGGTTTAAAGATTGCCATTTTGACCAATTTGGGACAATTAACGCGCGATATAATTCGCGCTATTAACGCGTAAGTGGAGAATTAATTCGTCTTAGAAATCGTTCCAAATTGGTTTTAAGAACTTATTTGCCATAATTGATTTGTTAAAAGGAGCGAAATCTATTGTTTTGTACTTTATATGGCGTGTGGGGGGATGATTTTCATAGAAAAATTTTCAAATTTTAGAATTTTTTTTTTTTTCATTTTATTTTATTTAATTTAATTTTTTTAATGTTGTTTATGTTATTACTGCTCCATAAACGTTAAAAGGCAGTCGAAACTTTCAGGGCTTCGCCCTGATACGAGCAGTCTTGTTCGACTTTGTGTTCGACTTTATTTTTCGACCGCCTCGGTCGAAACATAAATCGCAAACCTCTATCCGGGAATGGTTCAGTGACAATAGTTTTTATTCCAGTGACAATAGTTCAGGAAAATTGTAGGATATCATGTTCTCGTTGCCATTTTAGCCACCACATTAAACTATAATCCCCTAAAATAGACAACACAGCTGGTCGGTGTACAGTTTTTTCTACACTATATTTTTAATTGAAGCATGGGCGAACATTTTTTGACACGACCAAGCTATGCCTGTTATTTACTGAAATAAATTTTATTTCTTCAGCATGAGTGATACGCCAGGCCCTTGCTTGAAAAAGCTTTAACATTTCGCAAACTAGTTTAAGCTATCAAAATAACTGCAAGTGTTTTACAGTTACATCCTTTAATAGCTTCAGCAACAGTTTCTTCTCAAGAATAGTTAAATAAGAGAAGAAAGTGCAGTTTTTTTCGAACCAATTTCAGCCATAAAATCATAGTGAAACGCATAAAAAAATATGTTTGATAGCTTTCAAATTAATTTTTTTATAGACCAAAGCAAATTTTTTATGAGTCAAAACAAAATGTCAGAAACACTTAAAATTAGTCAAATTTTCAATGATTGAGTCCTGCTTCAAAGATTTTAAAAATTGGGCTCCAATTTAATTTTTGCTGCACTTTTAATTCATTTTTGCTGCAATGGAATTGATTTAATGTACTGTAGTTGTCCTCGCTGTAGGGAATTGTTGCTCCGATATGTCACTGATAGACAGAAGAAATTATTGTGAATGGTGGTTTTTTTCCGCCCGGTCTAAGGAACCGTATTGAAAAGTCATATTGTTAAGTCTCAAAGTGAAGAAAAACTTGTCTCAGTTTTTGACTTTTCTGACACAAGTTTTGCAAAAGACAGATAATTTAGCAAAGATTCTTTATAGTTACAACAGAAACAGAATATTATATTGGGGGCTTAAGAGTTTTATCAACGGGCTTAACGGCTGCAGATTTTATTGCTTTCTCACAAACGATACTAAATTTTTTTTGGTCAAAAAGTGTTTATCTCCTGATTTGCTCCGGGTATTCGCGCAAAGATAACTGTCGGAACATTCTGTCCTAACTGCAGAGTGAATGACTATTGTTTGATCTTAAAGTGTCCTTTTGAGCTCTTGTTCTTTCAGAACCCAAAAAGTAAAAAGAATTTGGCATCATTTACTTCGAAGATAGCTGATTTTATTTCTCAATAGGTTTATATACATATAAGATTTATGTTCGGTTATTGTAATTGTGTAGCTGCTATGACCATATGCTTTGTTACTTCATAGTTTGAAAAAAGTCTTTGAGCCTTTCTGTCAATAACATGTTAGAATTTACGTGGCGAGTAGATTACTATTGTGCATCTACAGTGCACTGAGGACAAACTCGAAGTGACACCACCAAAAAAGGCAGAATTTGAAACTATTTTGTTTTTGAAGATCTACATGAAAAGTCGACTAAGATTTGACTATTGACTAAACATTTGTTATTGTCAGGCCTAATTGAAAAATAGCAAACGAAAACTTTTTCTGACGCTGAGTAACACAAAACCACATTACTGATTTGATAACATTTGCTTTTGTAGCAGTTAATAAAAGCGTAAACTTAGAAATGCTTTGTTTTTGATTGAAGTTATAAAGTGTCTTCAACGTTTGAGTTGCTTGAGGGGATTTGATTTAGTAGTTTTTACAAACTATAAACTCTTCATTCGAACTTGGGTATGAATAACTGATGGGTTGTGCAAATGGAGAGAGCCTTTTCAGCTGAAGAAAGTGTGGGAACATCCGGAGGACAGACTAAGAACTCCAGTATCGAAATGTTAGCTTCATTTTAGTTTCATTCATGTGAAGTTCGATTTTGTCTAAGGAAAAATTTGAGCAGATGGACCAAAAGTTGCTCGATAATTCGATTCATACTCAAAACAATTTAAAATTAAGAATTTCAAAAATTTTGCAACATTTTTATGAAAAGAGGAAAGCTGAAATTAAACAACTTTGATCCATTATCATTGGACGGAAAATGTATCGTAAGCCATTCTTTTGCGAAACAAATCAAATGATTTTTAAGTTTGTTTTTTAGTAGTATTTTATTGTTCCGACTTTCGATCCGAAAGTAACGGAATATTTGTGCTCGGAGTGGGTTTTTTTTCTTCAGACAAATTTCGACTTTTTAACTAGCCATTTTTGACGGATTTTTTTTATATCATTCAAAATGTACTGTTGTCCTGAGCTTAAATTTGAAAAGATACTTCACCTGTGATCATTTTCCGTAAAGTTATTAGGGTTTAAAGATTGCCATTTTGGCCATTTTGACCAATTTGGGACAATTAACGCGCGATATAATTCGCGCTATTAACGCGTAAGCGGAGATTTAATCAAAAAGAGGTTGAAATTTTAGGGCTTCACTGATAAGCTGAGTGAAAAAGCTGATAAAAAGCGAAAACGATTTTTCTCAATTAAGGACAATCTAATTTTGCTATAATGTTTTAAGAAATTCGGGACAAAAATTAAATGTTAGTTATTTGAAGATTATTGAAACTAAATGTATCTTAGTTTTTAACTTGCCTTAGCAAACTGCCATTTTTATAAAACGCGTCCAGACAATTCGGCCAAAGAAAATTCAGCCGATTTGAAATTCAAACAATTCAGCTAAAAGTATGCAGACAATTCAGCCAATAATACTGACCGCCGCAGTCGCGCCAACGTGATGCGAGCTTGCCAACAGAGGGTAGGACTCCAATCGAAAATTAGAGCATGTTATCCCCGAGAAGCGGCTACGTTCGAGTAGCGCCCACACGCGACCTTAAGCCGAGAAAAAACTGCAATTCCGATTTTTTTTCTTTCGAATCTGGCTGAATTGTCTCAGGATTAATTGTCTGTATATTTCTGGCTGAATTGTCTGAATTTCAAATTGGCTGAATCTTCTTTGGTCGAATTGACTGTGCGCCTTATAAAACACTAAACTTCCACAAAAAAGTTTAGAAAAGAGACTAACAAGTCAGTTAAAACAAGCTGATTTGTAGATCAGAAACTCTGTATGTGCTCAGAAAAACCTAATTTTGGTTCCAGGAAGCTGATTTAGGTGCCTATTGCTCAGTAAAAATTGTGTTCAATTCTCTATCAAAACCATTTCTTTTCATGACAAATTACATAAAAGAAACAAACAAGGCTAAAGCTTACATAATTGCTGCATAAAAATATCAGTATTCGGACCATATAGCTTGTTCGACTGAAAACTGGACTATTTTTTAGGGGATTAAGCAGTTTTTTGTAGGCTATCTAGACTTTATTTTTAAAAAATACGATTTTCTTTTGTGTTATCAGAGGGTATGAGGATTAGAACTAAGCTGCAGAAACTTATCGCTCCCAAATTAGTTAGGGTAAAATGAAGATTAAGAAAGATGTCAAAAGATTTATGTCAAAACAATGTCAATTTTTGAATAATGTGAAAACCAAATGTATTCAAACCATTTTTTCACCAATGTTTTAGTGAACTTAATTTAAAGAGCTTTTTGTGTGTTTTGAATTTTAAAGAGCAAGTTAAAGGACTTCGTATGATATATCACAAAACATACATTTCAAATAAGACTGCTCGTAACATTAATTGGCCGCGAAAAAATTTTGGTATACAAAATATTGACAAACTTCAAACTTTAGGTTGATAAAATCAAAGTGTTAAAATTTGAGTAACTTTTTGGAATGTCTTTGACCAATTAGCTTACCTCATTTCAATTTGGAACGATAATGAGCGCAGATAATTAGCCACACACAAGTAAATTGCGTATTGAAACAAACTTTCAAAGTTTTATTCCAGCACCAAAGACGCACTGTAGCCAGATCGATGCCCATACGCAGTCAACTTTTCTAAAATCGGTCTCAATAAAAAAGCCACCCCGGGCATATATGTTCCTCGTTTTCCGAAAGTCGGAAGAGTTACAATTGATTTGTTAAGGAACAAAATCTCTCTTTTTGTACTTTATATGGCGTGTGGGGGAATGTTTTTCATAAAAAAAAATTTAAAATTTTAGAAAAAAAAATTTCCTTTTATTTTATTTCATTTAATTTTTTTTATGTATTACTGCTGCTCAATAAACCTTAAAAGGCAGTCGGAACATTCAGGGCTTCGCCCTGATACGAGCAGTCTTGTTTATTTTATAATTGTTTATTAATCCATTATAATTGATTAATTTGGAGTTTTATTGAGAAACACCCTGAAAATCCATGATGATCGATTTTATCCATGGAAGCTCATTGCGGGAAATGTTTGTCATTGCTGATTCAGTAATCAATTATTGTTGATCAGGACTTGATCATTGATGAATCAGTACTGAAAGCCTATTTCTGAATTAGCTCTGAATCAGGGCAGAGTTTTTTGGAATCAGCGCTGATTTACCTCTGATTTTCTGATTTGAAATACTAAGCAAAGCTGATTATTCTCTCTAAAAGCTTAAAATAGTGAGCCAATAGTGTGCTTACGACAGCCTGAGCCCCAAAAGCAAACTTGTTTTATCGCTGTTTTTCCGTCATTCAATGATAAAATAATCCGTAGCAACAACTTTCAATGAATTCTCTATGATTGAAAACTGGAAGCTACACTATCATGTTATACTATTGAGCCAGGGAGGGATGGTCGTCGCTGCGAGATCAGGTCGGGGGTGGCATTCAGGATCCCTTTACAATTTTTCAAACGTTTTTCCTTTAATGAATTTAAGTTAAATTTGCATAACAGAAATTGAATGGCTAGTATTTTTGTGCAGCTTGAATTTATATGATTCATCTGATAAAATGTTATGATTATTTCAAAAGTTATGATCGTTTAACTGGCATGAAAAGCTCATTTACGCAATTAATTGCATACATTGAATCAATTGCAGCATTTCTGTTCTGCGGAGACTCTAATAGACGCGCGTTATACGTTTCTTAAAATTTTATCAATTTTTTGAGCGAACCGCAATTGCTACCTCAAACAGCGCTTGCTCTTAACTGTGTCTGTAATTTTATAGTTTGGACACGCCCGCCAAGAGTGACGTGGTTGGAGGTAGTCAGGTCGGATCTGGTCTGGGACTGGGGCTGCAGGAGGAATTGCCCCAGGATTACAAGACGTGGTGGAGACAACATAAACACAACCCCATCAGTCGGAAGGAGGCATTCGACGCATATCAGCAGTACCTGGACGAAACAAACAAGGTACATGCACGATAGCACGAATCTGAAACATTCAAGGGGTATGAAAAGGAGAGTTTGAATAGAGACGAGGTACTCGGCACATTGCTGCTTCATTTTCATTGAATATTTTTCCCTTTTCCAAAATATTGAATGAAGCCTATAATCATAAGTTTTTCAAAAGAAAAATGATGATTATAGACTTCATTCAATCTTATGGAAAGGTTAAAAATAGGCAGTAGACTAAAAGTTTTCAACAACAAAAAAGCAGCAATGTGCCGAGCCATTAGCTGTGGTGCAAGGCTGCAATTATTGTAGAAATTCTTTCCTTATAATAACCAGACTGCTCGTATCAGGGCGAAGCCCTGAATGTTCCGACTGCCTTTTAAGGTTTATGGAGCAGCAATAAAAATAAAAAAATTCAATGAAATAAAACAAAATGAAAAAAAAAAATTCTAAAATTTGAAACTTTTTATGAAAATCATCCCCCCACACGCCATTTAATGTACAAAAGGATAGATTTCTCTCCTTGTAACAAACCAATTATGGCAAATAGGCTTCTTTTAACCAATTTGGAACGATTTCTAAGATGGATTAACTCTCCGCTTACGCGTTAATAACGCGAAATATATCGCGCGTTAATTGTCCCAAATTGGCCAAAATGGCAATCTTTAAACCCCCGTTAGTTTACGAAAAACGATCACAGGTGAAATATCTTTTCAAATTTGAGCTCAGGGCAACAATACCTTTCGAATGATATTAAAAAATTCCATCAAAAATGGCTAGTTAAAAAGTCGAAATTTGTCTGAAGAAAAAAAAACCCACCCCGAGCACAAATATTCCGTTACTTTCGTATCGAAAGTCGGAACAATAACAAACTCTTAAGTAACAAACTGATTCTATTGCATATGACTAGGTTTGTTCATTTTCTAAGTTTTTTGATAAATTGAGGGGTATAGATTTTAGTTTAAATTAATTGCTTAGTACCTGTAGATTTAGGGGATTCCTCCTTAAATTGTCCCTTTGGCAGTAACTTCAGCGGAGCGACCGAGATTCACTATTATCTTCAATCCCGAAAGGGTTAATTTGGTGGCAAATATCCTGTACTGCTCTCTGTTGCTTGCCCCTTCTGTGTATTGCTCTTGGGGTCTCGTCAACACAATCGTAATGATCACCAATTGTAAATTACTTCAAATGATTATACGTCCAATTACCGAAGCCTTGATATAAACTAATAATCACACTAAAGGAAGGGGTCCGCGTTTTATTAGCACAATTGCCTACTTGCAATTTAACTTCCACTAAAGTCACAAACACTAATATTTTCTCTCTGATGAGAACCAATTATCTATTTTTTCTGCTATAATTGTTCTCTTACTCTGAGAACCAACTACTCAATTCGCTAGCGATAATTGTTCGCTCTAACTAAATGAGAACCAACTACTCTTAAAAGTAGCTAACAACTTTTCTGGCTCTCAAAGGTTCTCCGGTACACTCCAATTCCTTATCTTTCTCTACACCTAGTTTTACTTAAGTCACGCCATTCCCGATCAGTCCTGACATCCGCTTAAATCTCCCGTCTGCACATGTTTCAAGAGTATATCCCTCCCCCTGGTACGTGCCAAGGTCGCTTTCTTTCATCAATCGTTTCACGCTTATTAGATACCCAGTATCCGGTAGGTGTTACAACTTGACCGAGCAAACAAATGTCATACGATTCTAATCTGCAAATTCCTGACCTCAGTGACTTCAGCCCTCGTGTTCAACTTAACCTCCAAAGCATGCTATGTTTACTCAGTGACTCTCCCAAGGTCTTTATTTTAATGATCCCGCTAACGTTCCGACCTCCCAAGGTTAGGGAGAGGCCCTTTTCATGAGTAACTAATTAATTTCAGGCATCTGAATTTTCGATCTGTACTCTATTCCAATCCCGACCTTCTAGCTGTCAGGGGAACGTAGTATGTCTATTAGGGGTCAAATCAAACCAAAAAATCACCTCCGGGAAGCCAAGTAAATTCCCCGTCCGTTCATACTATTTAGGAGACCTAATTCTCATGCTGCAGTTCTATTACGATGAGATTGCTCTGGGACTACTTTTCTTTAGTCTAGTTGAATTGCTATTTATAGATCACTCACTAAGCTAAACTGAACCCAATGTCTACCAAGTTCACTTTGAATTATTTCTACTACTCCAAGGTTGCAATGCAAAAGATATATCTCTATCAGCTTCTGCTCTACCTCCCAAAATATGAGTTTTCCTCCCAACTTTTAGCAAGGTGACCCTTTCTCATTTCCAGGGGTTGGGCTGTGGAATATGCTACTTTCCGGTATTAATCTTATGGTTTTCCATTCAATTTTGGGGTCAAAACCGCCAACGGTCAACCTAAGGTCACCCAGGGTAACTAGGTAACAGGGTAACCTAAGGTAACTACCAAATTCCATCCATATCCTATTAATACTTCAATAGTTATCCCATTTTGAAGGTCCATTATCACCTTTCCGGAAAAAGGCTACTAACACCTGAAGGAGTCGCCGGAGTGTTTTCAATCACAAGGGGTCTTTTTTCGGTGTTTGTATCATATGTCGATTGCTGCAATGAAGTCATTATGCCATTGTTCATCAGTTTGCGTTAATTGCCTATTTCCCGTTTAAGGGGGTGTTTTTTCAAGTGCTAATAGCTTCTGGTCCAAACGTCGGATTTGTTTCAAATTACAACACAAGATATATATTGGCACTATCTATCATCCCTTCAAGTTTCAGCTCCTTGTGACTATTGGAGGCCGAGAAATGAATTCCGGAAAATAGGGGTAGGTTTGCTTACTTCGGGCATAAAACCGGAAGTAGGGGTCCTAGGAGACTGGGATTCTAAACTTAAGCTTCCATTAACTAGGCCTACAACATACTAATACTAAAATTTGAATCCAAAACAGCCGCTAGTTTCTGAATTCTGATAGGGCCATTTACACTTTCGGGGACCGTTATCACTTCCCCCCCAGGGGTCTGAGGGGTCCCGATTTTTTATGCCCGGGTCAAATCATCTCTAGTATCGGTCCTCTGAATTTCATAACATTAGCTTTCTTAGTTCCGATTCGGGGGGGGGGGGGGGTTCGCCGATTTTTTCAAATTTTGTTTTCTGGCATAGGAATGACAATTTCTGCCAACTTGATCTATTTTGAGCTCTACCCTTTGTTTGCTCTACTACTTAACTTAATGACCAATGAATCTTACGCTCAGGTTAATATAGCATGACGAATTGTAGAATCTTTTTTCTTATGTAGAATCACGAATTCTGCAGTACCTTTACTATTGCTGGCGGTGCAGCATAGATATAGTACCGGTGTTTTTATTTCAGCCAAAATGTATCAGTTTGAAAAGTGGGCAACACCTGAGACGACCGAACAACATCACTTCAATCCAGAGCAAATTCGCCCTCAAATACAGACTCCTTTCTTTCTACGAAACAAGAGACATTATCGAAGAAGTCAAGTCAGTCAAACAAACAGACGAGAAACAAACTCCTGAAAATTTACAGTTTGACCCTAAGTCAGATTATATAGTTCAATCTGCTCACAAATCGGAAGAGCTGTTAGCAGAAAACAATGGAACAGATGTGTCTGAAATATCACTTGAGGTGGAGATAAACCCTTTTGCAGCCCTAGTTGAAAACAGGGAAGTGTTGATGCCTCTCCCCTCGAATGGAGAACTGTCCACTGAGAATAGCAAAATATACAAGGACAACGTGAACAACCACACTCCAACAACATCTATAACGACTGTGACCAGTGGTAGATTATTATGATTATGACACTTCCTAGCATTTTAAAATCATTTTATGAGTTTGAGATTAAAAACCTAAATTAGGAGAAAATATTGAAAAAAAATATAAAAAGATTTATGGAAAAGGTAATTCGCGTAATTTGAAAAAATTAAAAGCTGTTATAACTTGTTTTTTTTGTTTGATCTTAAGACTAGCATGCGAATTGAAAAACAAATTAACTGAAGGCAAAGCAGGGCTTTGAAAAAAGGCAACATTATAAAAATACATCACTGATTGATTTGCTTCACTTAGGCTTCGGCTCTGGTGCCAGACTGTCCATCCAGGGCCATAGTACTCCCCAGATCAGAGAGGATCCCCAATCAAACCACATTAGCCCAGAGGCAGACATGGTGGCATCTCTGAGCCAGCTAGACACAGACAAGATCTGGGACATCTGGGTTCCCCCAGATGACTACTTCAAGCCCTGTTCCAAAGTGGTGTCCCTGTCGGGTGGTGGTGAAGGGGGAGTGGTGAACTGCAGATGGTGTGGGGGCACGGGCACCAAACAATGCAGAGTGTGTAAGCGGAAGAGCAAAAAGTGGAACTCGTGTGGCAACTGCAACGCAAATGGTGAACAATTGATATGTCATAAATTGTAAAATCAAATATGGAGAAATTTTTCATATCAAACATGGAGTCATTGGGGGCGGATAGCCAAGGATTTGGAAAAAAATCGACCTTTTTCGGACTGGTCAACAGGGGCGGACCTAGGATTTTCTCGAGGGGGCGGATTTTCAAAAAATTGTCGAAACTTTTGTCGACCTTTTTTTTAGACCGACCGAATTGATTTTTCGAGCTCTCCCTAAGCAGAGAGGATCCTGCGCGAAAGTTTGCTGCTCCTGTTTTGGCCAAATTTGCTGCGATCCTGTTTTACCCAAATTTGCTGCGCGAAAAACAGACAAAAAAAAGTGTTTTTAGGCACTTTTTGGAAAAATTGACCAAAAAATTGCATTTTTCGGCGCGCGCTCCCCTCTCAAAATTATTATACATTGGCGCCCAAGGCGCCTTTAGAAAACTTTTAGGGTCGGTCGGCCAAAAATGGATTTCTTAAAAAGTAGGGGGTCGAATCCCTGAGGGAGGGCGTCCGTCCCATTGTTCCGCCACCGACCGCTGGTCAAATTGAATTTTTTCAGCATTCTCTTTTACACAAAAAAGGCTTTGACAATATTTTTCAGCGCTGCAGGCAAACATTTTCCAAAATATTCCAACTAAATCCGACCAAAAGTGAATGTCGTAAGACACTACCAAAAGGGGAATCTTTGGGCGCTGAGGGAATCTTCTGGCAAAATAAAAACTACTTTTTTAGAACAAACGTTTCAAAAAAATATATTAAATAATTGAAAAAAAAAACGCTTATCTCTTCCTTGTTTTCAAATTTGAGTGTAATTGTGTTGTGCGTCAGGGTCCGTGAGTACACAACAGTATTACAATGGGGTGGACTATGACAACACATGGAACAATGACATCCCCATCATGAGTGGGAAGATCCAGGTGAAGTGTGAGGAGTGCAAGGGCATCGGGCTATCACACGATCCTTACAAGTGCAGACAGTGTCAGGGCAGGGGTGCTGTGCAGTGCACCAGGTGTGCAGGGGAAGGCAGGGTGGGGGTGGAGCGGAGTGTGCATGTGCAGTATAATAACCACTCCTCATGGGCCATAGCCAACGACACACCCATTCCACACAGGTAAAAAACAATTTACACAAAACCTCACACATGCTCCGCTTCTCCGTATAGTTTTAATTGAGACAGTTCAACTCTAAAGCGCTCTTTGTGCATCAATTTTTTTAATCAGTTCGATGAACGATTTGAAAACTCTCATATGTTTTTTTTTGGTTCCGACCATTGAAAATGGGGAGGAACTTTGTATGGGTGTGTTTTAGTGTTTTTAGTTTGTTTTTAACACAAGCATGTACCACAAATAATCATCGGAATGGGCTGAGTGATATATTTTATTAAAGCCTTTCGTTCGTGATTCGACTGATCTTACAAAATTTCCAAAATTTCCAGTGTCGAGAAAAAAATGGTTTGAAATTTTGGATTTTTTTTCTAATTTCGAGCGCGTAAAGCGAGCAAGTGGGCTTATTTATCCTTATTTTTTACTCGAGTAAATTTAGTTTTTGGAGTTTTGTAAGTGCATTTTGGTAATCAAAAACTTAACAAATTTGAGAAAATTTTTTGATTTCTTTTAATGATTTTTTTCTAGATAATTTTCTTCAAAAACTGTTGTCCATTTTGTCTATTTTACTATGACTGTTGATGATGCCTAAACTTTTTTATGTTCAGATCCTTTATCACACCACCCAGAAAAATTTGCTCTAACTTGAAAAAACTTTTTTGTGTGTGTTTTCTTTTAAGATTTCAGAGCCAAATAAAAAATTAGTTTTAAGACTTCAGAGCCAAATAAAAAATTAACCGATTGATCCAAGTTTTTTCAAATAGGGTTAAGTTTATCAAGAAACAACTTTTCTGGAGTTTCAAAGAACTTTGAGGTCATAAAGTTTTGTGAGGTTTAAGTATTTGTACTCGGGTGGTCTTTTTCTCAAGACAAACTTCGCTTTTTTAACTAGCTTTTTTTGACGTAATTTTTTTTTATCATTCGAAAATTTTTGTTGTCGTGATCTCAAATTTAAAAAGAATTCACTTAGAAGCATTTTTTGTACGGCTATGGGGAAATAAATGTTGCCAATTTCGCAATCTTGGGACAATTAACGCGCGATATGATCAACACCGGTCCAAGTTTTGACCAGATTTTGCGTCAAAAGTCTGGTCATCCCGAATTCCTGGAGGGATATCTTGTACTATTTAAAATCAAATTGTTTCTAAAATATATATTAATAAAAACTACAAAATTTTAGCTTGAAAGATATTAATTTAATAAGCAACACAAACATGTCAAGTTTCTATCGAAACCGGTCTGGGCGGTCAATAAAACTGCGAAGTCTGAAATTATTAATATTTGGTCTCAAAAGTCTGCCCTGCCCGTATCTGGTCTCGGATCGTGCGCCATGTCTAGTCGTGGCATCCCCGCCCTGGTCGCGATAGCCCGACGGTCCTTTTGATTCCAAAACTCTGGAAAAATCTGGGCATCTCAAAATTTGGACGCACAAGTCTGAAGATCAAACGCGGGCCTGACCTCAATACAACCTTATTTAATAACTAGAGGGCATTTTTTATTGGACCTTCTTGAAATTTTTGTAGTTTAGCTTGTGCAGTTTGACTAAGGAAAAAAAAACAAATTTAAGCAGTATTGTTTGATGTTTCCTTCTAGGTTCCTACAACAGTTGTGCGGAGTGGTGATTTGGGAGGAGGAGACAGACCAGGCCACAGACTCTCCCAACCTGGACAAACTCATGGACGGCAAGAGCCTCACTCTCCGTGCCAGACACCATCACAAACTCACACAGTCCCAGAGAGGTGAACTCAGATTTACTGAAAGTGTAAAAATCATAAAAATTGATTCCAGTATAGGTCCACGTTTATCAAATTAATCTGAAGAAGAAGAATTAACTTTTCATTGTAGCAATTATACAGCATTGCACATAACACATTCGAAAATACGCAACTCTGAGAGGACAGCTGACAAACCCATATGGGTTGCTAGGTGCTCTCCTGAGCTTCTAGAAGTAGGTGACAATCAAAACCAATTTTTAAAGCCGTAAAAAAACACAAACAAAAAATGTTAAAAAACCATTGCACTTTATTGACGATTGGCTGCCTGGCTATAACGTCTCATTTTCAAAAACAAAATCAATAAAACGACCGAATAACTTCAAGTAAAGCAAAGAAAATTCTGAAACTCGCTTGTTGCAGCCCTCTTTTTTCGTCTGAAAAACCTTGACCTTGTTCCAATAACGGCTACTGCTTCTACTAACTGAGCCTTGCCTCTAAAACCTACCTGACACCAATAGATTTGGATGGAGGCTGTTTGAACACAGATCACTTAACTGAGCTCAAGCTGCACTAACCAGTGAACAAGTCCAAACAAGGTTTCAATTCGTCGGAAATTACTTCAAAACCAAAAGTTAGGTTTCATAAAGCAAATAATATCAAACCCAAGAAGACCTTCGAGAAAAATAAAAATCAGAAATAGGGAGGCAAATTTCCTAGCAGCAAATAAAACTTAACGATGTCATCTTTATTTGAAAAATACAAATGCCGATGATTATGGGCAAGTTTTTTTGATCAGATTTAGACAAACTGTCAAACTCACGAGGAAGCAAACTATTTCAGCGTTAAAAAATCAAAAACTTTCAGCCTCAATAACTTATTGATTTTCTCTTTTTTGCTTTTTTAATTAGGAAATTTCATTAAATTGACACTTGACCCACGTGTACTGAAAGTGAAAGCATCAAACAGAAAACGATATTTCAAACTAAAAATCACAATGTAGGCCAGCAAAGGAATGCAAAGTTAGATTTAATGACTCATATACAAACATTTACAGAAACTCAAAACAGTGGGAAAAAAATCATTAACAAAATTCGATTGATCGCCGGCGCAATTTTGTTAGCAAAAAATCTGAAAAAAAACTTTTTTAAAACATTAAAACTGGTCTTAACTGTGTTAGCTAGTGCAACCATACACAAGAATGCCACAAGGTGAAATTGGCCTAATGTTTGACACATTTTCGAAATGACGCCACTCTGTTTTCTTAGTTTTTTCCTAACAAAATCTGAATGAAAACGAATGGCTTATTTAACATAAGTAATCAACAAGATATATACCCATTTTAGATTATCTTTGCGGTAAATTGTTCATTTTTAGTAAAGAATTGAAAGCCAGGTTGAGCATAAAGATAACTGAAAATTCTTATCCATCTTTTGTGATAATTTTTTTAATCAAACCATCCGCTCAAAGCTGTAAAACTTTCATTGAAACTTTGAATTCAGCACTTTATTTTTGTTATAATAGTAACATCTGCAAAGGAAAAAGTTTGCAACTGCTGCAGCCCTTGATAAGAATGTTGCTATATATTAGGAACAAAAATGGCCGCATAATGGAATCCTGGGGAACACCTCACTTAAATTTTTTCCAAGAACACTTGCAATGACAAATTTAAACTGATTGCGTGAGAATTTTTGAGTGTTCTATACAATTTTAGTTTGATATCCAAATAGTGATGATTAAGCAATTCAAACGTTTTATTAATTCCAGGAAAACCGTTCTTTTTACCGGCTTGCTTTCATCTCCTTTACACTTATGAGATAGCATGAAAATTGCACTTTTTTTTTAAATTAAACTTCTTTACATATGTTAACGATTGAACTTCAAGATATTCATGTTTTCCATTGTACATTGGACACTAAGAAACTCTCTCTCCAAGTTATCAGTAGAGATATCGATAAGTAAATACATTCATTGAGTTTTGATTCTTACTTATATAACGGGTGGACAACGGCCTTGATCAACGACTTGGGAGTAATTATGATGTTTTGAAGGCTAAATCACTGAGGATTCTTGAAATGAGTACAATTGTTAGTCTGCTTGCTTCAACAATGAAACTGTTGAAGTCACAACCAAAAGACGTCTTAATTTGCGCAAAGATTTGAGCAAAGAAATTTGAGTAAAGAAATTTTTTGATTTCACTTTCTGTAACTGCAAAACTTTGGTTACTCGAGGTTATGATACCTGTCTGATTTAGATATTTAATTTGCAAACTATTCAACAATAGTAGAAAAAAACTATTGAACTTATTCGCAATAGCACGTCCGGGATAATAGTTTCCCCCGTCTATTTTTTTATGGAACGTTTTTTAGATTTACGGATGCATGTAACGCTTTTAAGTTCATTCACAGCTTTGAGTCACCAAAGACCATTTTAGATTTTATAATTATAACACTGTGTTCTTATCATTGTTCCGACTTTCGATACCTTTGGCCACTTTTTTACGTTTGGCCACAGAAAAAATTTGTATTGTTTGCTACTTGTCATTTTCTACATGTTTTTGTCTCCCCTTCCCCTGAACATTTCACACTCCCACCATTCTTATTTTCTTCACTTATCATCACCTCCCTTACCCTTACTTACATGTACCGTAGAAATACGAAGCAATACGTTAAAAACATGTTAAAAAAATGAGCAGAGCCAGCATTCAGAAAAGCTCGCTACTCGGAACATAGATTAAAATTTTTGCCCTGCCGACTTTTATATTAGGTGACCATCTCAAATGTAGTGATTCAATATCACAGTGATTTTGCTTGAATTCGTTCTTATTTTCTAGATTTATAACTCTTCCGACTTTCGAAAAACGAGGAACATATATGCCCGGGGTGGCTTTTTGTTCCGACTTTCGATACGAAAGTAACGGAATATTTGTGCTCGGGGTGGGTTTTTTTTTCTTCAGACAAATTTCGACTTTTTAACTAGCCATTTTTGACGGAATTTTTTTATATCATTCGAAAGGTAATGTTGTCCTGAGCTCAAATTTGAAAAGATATTTCACCTGTGATCATTTTTCGTAAAGTTAAGGGGGTTTAAAGATTGCCATTTTGGTCAATTTGGGACAGTTAACGCGCGATATATTTCGCGCTAATAACGCGTAAGCGGAGAGTTAATCCGTCTTAGAAATCGTTCCAAATTGGTTAAAAGAAGCTTATTTGCCATAATTGATTTGTTACAAGGAGCGAAATCTATCCTTTTATACTTTGTATGGCGTGTGAGGCATGATTTTCCCAAAAAAAATTCAAATTTTAGAAAAAAAAAATCAATTTATTTTTTCTTACATTTAGTTTTTTAATGTTATTACTGCTCCATAAAACCTTAAAAGCCAGTCGGAACATTCATTCCGTCTGATTCTTGTTTCAATTTAATTTCCATTTTTCCCTGCTCTTTCAAATCTCACTCTTTTGAGTGTTACTGTTTCATTTCATGACTATGGTTTTTGAAATCCATTTCGTTTCTCAATAAGAGTTATTGTTCCGGCTTTCATAACGAAAGTAGTGGAATATTTGTGCTCGGGTGGGTTTTTTTAGACAAGTTTCGACTTTTTAACAAGCCATTTTTGACGGAATTTTTAAAATATCATTCGAAAGCTATTGTTGTCCTGAGCTTAAATTTGAAAAGATGTTTCACATCTGATCATTGTTCGTAGAGTTATGGGGCTGTAAAGATTGCCATTATGGCCAATTTTGGACAATGAACGCGCGATACTAACGCGTGAGCGGATATTTAATCCGTCTTAGAAATCGTTCCATATTGGTTCAAGGAAGCCTATATGCCTTAATTATTTTGTTAATAGGAGCAAAAGCTATCACTTTGTACTTAATATGGCGTGTGAGGGGATGATTATACAAAACTAATCATTTTTGGTGGCTTTTTGTTCCGACTTTCGATACGAAAGTAACGGAATATTTGTGCTCGGGGTGGGTTTTCAGACAAATTTCGACTTTTTAACTAGCCATTTTTGACGGAATTTTTTATATCATTCAAAAGGTATTGTTGTCTTGAGCTTAAATTTGAAAAAATTTTTCACCTGTGATCATTTTTCGTAAAGTTATGAGGGTTTAAAGATTGCCATTTTGGCCATTTTGACCAATTTGGGACAATTACCGCGCGATATAAATCGCTCTATTAACGCGTAAGCGGAGATTTAATCCGTCTTATAAATCGTTCCAAATTGGTTGAACGAACCTAATTTGCCATAATTGATTTGTTACAAGGAATGAAATCTATCTTTCTCTACTTTATATGGTGTGTGGGGGGATGGTTTTTATAAAAAATTTCAAATTTTAGAAAAAAAAATTATTTTATTCTATTTCATTTAATTTTTTTAGGTTATTACTGCTGCTCCATAAACCTTAAAAGACAGTCGCAACAATCAGGGCTTCGCCCTGATACGAGCAGTATTGTTCAAGCTTTCAATTTAATAGAATCAATTTCTGAGTGGAAAGTGAGTAGTTAACCATATCAGTTTGGTTTTTCTCGTACTCCTGCTTTCCGATGTATGAAAACAAAAAATTCAAGAACCAAATATTTATCATTGATTTTGATGATTTATCATTGATATTTTAACTTGTCTTTCAGGCTCCAGAAAACCGAAATGACCCACGTTTTAATCAGGCAGGGTTTCTTAGTTGCGATGAGAAAGACACGTTTTCGAGCACCTTAGCAAATTTCACAATTGAATCTCAAATAGGTTGAATTGTCTTTGGCCGAATTGTCTGTGCGCCGTTTTGTAAATAACGTTTCAAGAATTTCATCTAGTTGTCAAGGAAGAAGAACTTTTCTCTCCTTGTGGGGAGTTGTATACTGTAAAAGTAATATATTTTTCATGTTGTTTTTATAACAGATTTTTTGGATTTGTATAATTTTGAGTTAACGTTTGGAATTGTATTCTTGTGATTTAAAGCAGTCTAAATGATCATTTTAAAGAAACCTTGTTTCAATTGAACATATTATATCTCGTGGTTACTCAAACCTACATACATGTTCTTTCAGTTCTTCATGTTGTTTAAGAAGAGATTTAGTGCACAATACTTAATTCAATTGTCTGAGGAAACAACACTCTATCATCTCGACTAAGTAGTTGTGTTTCTGATCTCCCTCATACAAACCTCTGATACCTTGAATAAGGTTTTCGTTTTTGAGTTGATTACAAATGCTTCCCGCTTTTGTCCATGTTGATTCGATACGATCATCTCCTTCTAGATACGTCTAGATACGTTATCTAGATACTCCGTCTAGATACTAACGTATCTAGATACTCCGTCTAGATACGTTAAATCTTTGTAGCTTCTTAAGTGGTTCACTTTTGAGAACTGGTGCGAGACTCTAATTTCTCAATACTCCTCTTTGGCTGTGTTTCCGGAGAAGGGCACAATCATTGGTCTGTGGTTCTTCGGTAATTCGGCTCTTTTTTGCATTTTGGGCAGCTCTATTTTTAGAACTTAGTTTTTAGAATTTAATTTTAGGCAGCTCTATTTTTTTTTTTTGAAAATTAAACTCTTTTTATCTGAACTATTACATTTATTTTGTGGTTAAAGGTGGGTTGTTTCAGCTAATGTCTCAATTTTAGCTAACTCTTTAGAACGAAAGAAGGAAAGAAAGAAAGAAAGAAAGAAAGAAAGAAAGAAAGAAAGAAAGAAAGAAAAGAGTTTATTTCTCCGGTCAACATTTCTGACATGCTCTATCATTTAGATAATATACTAATTCAACTAATTAGACAATGGGATCGTCAGGTCCTCTAGCCTCTTCCTTGAAATTTCACTAACAGTTGTTTTACTCCAACTTTAGGGCGCATTCTGCAGCAGCGGCAGTGTGTGAGTGTGATTCCTATTTATGAGGTCAGCTACCGGGTCTCCTCCTTCTGGACCAACTCCTTCTTTGTCTGTGGTCTGGACCGCAAAGTGTGTGTCAGTGAAACAGTCTCCTCCTGCTGCAACGTCCTCTGATCAAACTCCATTTTAGTCTCGTTTCAACAACAATCAAAACCCTACAACCCCCCCCCCCCCACACACACACACACACTTACACACACACACACACACCCCACCAAGTTTGAAGAATAGGTAATGTTTGAAATTGCCTCAGAAGGCTCCTATGGTCCAAATAACTAAATTCAGGGTATGTTGGTCTGTTTGAAAAGAGACGTTTTAGTCCGATTATTTGTAGAGCATGTTTTATTTATAGTAGTTGATTTGCACCTTATTTACAAATGTAATTGCAAATATAAGAAACTCAACAATAAAACTTCTTGGATACAATTATGGGTAGTTGAAGACTCTCTCGCAGCGGTCTCAGAAATCTTCGAGAGAATTGAGTCTGTTTTTGAAACAAATCTTGCCTGAAACAGCTCAAGAACTCAGCTTTGAAAAACTCTTGAGCATTTTTTTAATTGCTCAAGTCTGAATCAAACTATGAAGAATCCAAAAAAATACTTAGATCCCAACACAAAAAGTCAGACCATTCTTTGCTGTTTGTTTATTGTTCCGACTTTCGATAGGAAAGTAACGGAATATTTGTGCTCGGGGTAAGTTTTTTTTTTTCTTCAGACAAATTTCGTCTTTTTAACTTGCAATTTTTGACGGAATTTTTATATCATTCAAAAAGTATTGTTGTCCTGAGATTAAATTTGAAAAGATATTTTACCTGTGATCAGTTTTCGTTAAGTTATGTGGGTTTAAAGATTGCCATTTTGGCCAATTTGGGACAATTAACACGCGATACATTTCGCTTTATTAGCGCATAAGCGGAGATTTAATCCGTCTTGGAAATCGTTCCAAATTAGTTGAAAAAAGCTTTTTGCCATAATTGATTTGTTTCAAGGAGCAAAATCTATCCTTTTGTACTTAATATGGCATGTGGGGAGATGATTTTCATAAAAAATTTCAAATTAAAAAAAAATCATTTTTTTCATGTTATTACTGCTCCATAAACTTTAAAAGTCAGTCTGACCACTCAGGGCTTCGTCTTGATACGAGCAGTCTTGTCAACTTCTAAGAAAATTAGCGAATGGTCAAAGATACGCTAAACTCTTGATATTTGAATGGTGTTGTGATTTGTGTGAGGTTCGAATTTTCTTGGGTAAAGAGTTTTAATATACAAATTCAAAAGATGAAACAGTTTATATCGAAAACTGAAATTATTTGTCATTTTTTAGATGTTTTTTTAGATGTTCAAAGAAAATTGTTTTGAATTTCAAGCTTTTAACAAATTTATTGGACAACGTCTTAAGCTTTTGAAATCAATCTGACCTTGACATAAGGAAATGCAATCAAATTTTCAAAACTGCTTTTGAACTGACAAAAGAGCAATGAAAAAAGATTGCGCTCATTTGGAGAATCCCTTTTTGACTTATTCAAGGAGCACATTTGAAACAAATTTTTCATTCAACAACAATTCGCCATGCAATTTTTCGAAGCAAAAAAAAAACAAAAATGCCGACAAAAGAGCAAACACGAAACTTCAAATAAGCATTTCGATTAAGTTTAAATTTGAAGGTCAAATTTATTTCAGAAATCTGAGGCGTTCTCCGATAAATTTGGTAAAAGCTATAGAAATATTTCTTCAAAGTTTGGCGTTTGCTTTTTTGTCGGCTTTTTATCTGCTCTTTTCTTTTGAAAAACTGCGTGTCATATTGCTGCGGTTTAAAAAGTGTTTTGACGCGAAGGGCTTGGAGTTAGATTCAGTAAGCTAACCTCTTGAAAAGCGCAGTCCTTTTCGTTTGTTTTTTGTCCTTTACGCTGTCCGATGATATTGTTAAAAACTATATAATTAGCAGCAAAATGGAACAGATAGAAATAATTAACAGGAGCAGTCTGTCAATTTTGAGCAATTTTTACATGCAAACTTGAGCTTTCAGATGGCCTTGATTCATGTTTTTGTCTGAAAAACTAGTTTTTGCATGCAAAATTTTCTGAAAAAGGTTTTTTGCTATTTTTAATTAATTCTGTCTGTTCCAACTTTTTGCAATTCTCTTTAAAGCTGAAAATTTTACAAAACTTTTAAAACTACAAATTTTACAAAGGTTGAAAATTTTACAAAATAAAACTGATCTCTAAAAATACTCACTCATTTTGGCATGCTTTTTTGACAGCTTAAAAGCAATTTTGAAAAATCAGTTTCAAACTCAACACCAGTTCAATGTCTCACGGTCAAAATTACTAAGAAATTTAGAACGTCCGATAAATTTATTGAACGCTAGATATGCGCTGCAGTTACTGTCTGTGATGAGATATGATACATATGATACAAGCAATTTAAGTAGCAAAAATTTGGACAGCGTAAAGAGAACGGGGGAACTGATTAAAAAGAGCAAGCAATGACCATGATTAAATTTAACAAAAATTTTTATTGAGTTTTTCTAGTTAATTCCCAAATTGTTGGCAATTTTTTTTTCATTCAGGGAATCTGAACAAAGCTTATTAACCTAACACTGCTCCTCATTTTGACGTCTTCATCTTATTACTAATTTTTGCAATAAAACGGTTTCCGAAAAACTTATTAAGCAAAAATGCAATATTTTTTGTTCAATTAAACTGCTCAAGGTCACTCATATTGCCAACAGTTTGGCATTAACTATAAAACACCTTGAGACATACTTTTTGTGTAAAATTTAGCATTTACATGCGAAAGTTGTCGGAAGTAGGTCATTTGCTTTTTTATTTCTTTTTGTCTTCGTTCATGTTTTTTTTTGCAATTTTTCTATGTCTCAATAAAATTTCGGTGATAACATTTTTGACAAGTTGCTGCCACAATTTAACTCGACTCGCAGACCAGAAATTAGCGCATACTTTTGAGTTGGGAAATCAAAATTTTGAGAGGTAACGGTTTTATGTGCGCTAAGATTTCACAAATTGCATGGAGTGCTGATAGCACGGGGTTCAAAATAAGATTTTCATAGAGGTACAAAGAGTAAAATATTTAAACACTATCCCACAGCCTAAGACTCGGCGATGATGATGGTTGCTGTCATTAAATCTGAGTAAAAAACAAAGAAGTCTAGATAAAAATGCAGTAAACCCAAATCTCGATAGGTCTGGTTTCCGAAATTTTTCAAATTTTTTGATCTATCAAATTTCACGAAAACTTAAACCGAAACATAAATTTACATGAGTACATGAGTCAGCAAATAAGACAATGTTGCTGACTCATGTTGACAAATAGTTAAAATGAGACATCAAAATTAGCTATAAAGAAAAACGGAGCACCTTGGCAGTCTTAAATTTTAGTTTGCAAGTTGCAGAAAAAGTTGATGAACGAAAATTCCGGGAAAGCTGTCGCAAACATCAAGAGATTTTAAGAAAGAAGGTCAATAAAAATCAGAAATCAAATTTTTAAAAACGAATGAAGCAAAACAGAGTAATCTTTACCAAATCTTCAACCAATTAAAACAATCAGTGGATGAAGTTCAGTTTTTCAAACATGAGGAAGCGTTTTTGTGATAAACCCTTGTAAACTGATGTTTCTATGTCTTTTGTAGCGAACGAAATTTAAGGCAGAAAAATAAACATTATTTTCTCATTCTTCAAAAATACCAGAAAAACAAGTTTGCAAAATACTATCCGCTCTTCCATGGTATAAGTAAAATAAAAGTAATGATCACGAAAAGCGTATTACCGTTTTCGTCGGTTGCACGTTCCGGTTGAAAAATAACTATTATTTTTTTTAACATCGAATTGTCGAGTAGCCAACTCGGAAGGGCAAATTAATCAAAAACAGAAACAAAATTTGAAACCAGAACAGAAAAGCTCTGCTCAGATTGCAAATAAATGATATTTTGAAACTCGAATTGAAAAAAGAACAAAAGGACTTCCAAAAATATGCACTTCATTATGCCACTGTAACTGTTCGAAAAAAAAAACATTTCAAGAAAAGTTACGCATGCAGCTTTCTTAATCTACCAAATTGTTTTTTTTTAATCGCATTAGATATTTTGGTAAGAAAAGATACGTTTCTAGATTTTTTATCAAAAGCAAAGCAAACAAAAAACATTCTTTTTCCGTTACAAAAACCAAAAGTGTCAATGAATTTTTTCGGAGAGGTTTCAAACGACTAGGGGATTTCACGAATTTGCAGTCATTTGCCCGTTTTAGTTCATTTTTTCAAAATGTTTGGTAAAACGACTATCCGGTGGATTCAGGTGCATATACAAAATATTCCAATACCAAACAGTTCAAAATAATCTTGAAAAAAGAAAACGAAAAAACAGTCCGATACAAAACAGTCCGGCTCTATCAGTCCGATTTAAAACAGCCAACTATCACTTGGGACAGCTTTTCGGACTGTTCTTCATCGCACTGTTTTTTTGTTTCTTTTCATACTCTTAGGTGCTGTTTTGTATGGCACTGTTTTGTACAGACACGATGGATTCAACTTGACAAATCCATCGTGTCGCAGACAATGGTATGATTTAAATTTGCGGTCGATTGTACGTTTTTGCTTTTTTCGAGCAAAGCAGTGCCCTAGCCAATTACTAAAATCATTTTACAGTCTGAACAGCGTTTTCAATACTCAAAGTTGGAGTTTACATTGTTTGTCATACAAAATGTGGAATCAGCCCAACATATCGAAAAAAATTTTGTATGTTAAAAAATTTTCATGGTAGTTTCGCAGCCTTGACTATAGCATATCGTTGTTTGTTTTAATGTGAATTCAATACCCGCACCGGAGTTCCATGGACAATTATCGATTATCTAAAAATGTTGTCTAAAATGTTGACATTATGAACCATTATCGTTTGCAAATTTAGAGTAAAAAATTGATTATAAAGTCATTATAACCGACTATTTTTGTAAAAACACAATCCATCAAAATCCATTATAAAGGATTATAATCCGTTTAAAATCCATTATAATTGATTATAACGGATTATAATCTTTACATTTTTTGCAAAATCTTTTGCAAAACTTGCAACCTATCTGCGTTACTCACGGCCTACTTGCAATCTTAAGCTACTCAAATAACCCCCCCCTCTCTCTCTCTCTCTCTCTTTGCCCCCCCCTCCGCATTTACCCAAATCCCCTTTCCCA